TATTTTGGTATTTGCAGTACTGAGAAATGAATCAAATCCTTCTGGAACTGCCAGTCACAGGCTTCAACAAGTGCCAGTGCTCCTGAGAGCCATGCCTGGTGCTGAGGTGTGGAGACAGGAGTGAGATGCCCAAGTCTGAGACACAATTCTGGCTTATTTCATGTTCTCTGGACTTGGCCTATTGCTCTGAGAGGCTAGGTAACATACATGCTGTGTACCCGATCTCTTAATTTCAGATGTCATCACAGGCCTTTGGTAGAGCTGTACACAGTGACACAGTAGTCCCTCTTTTGTGTGAATGTTAAACGCATTTGGCACATTGATATGTGGGTTAAGTTGTCCTTTGCAGTACAGATGTATCTGTGATGAACTTCATTAAGAGCAAACTGCCCTGTGCTCTAGCTACCAAATGCCAAGACGCAGCCAGGGAGTCGAAGCAAAAGACAAATATTGTAAAGAGGTAAAGCAAGGAAGAAAAAGTTCAGAGAAGAGAAAACTAGATTTGTGATCTGGACTATGTTGTCCAGCATTTCCATTTAACTGTTGAAGGCTGCAAACTGGAATAGAATTGTGGCTTTATTAGAAGGAGGTATACTGCCAATGACAGCAAGGTACTAAAGCTTCCTCCTTTGTTTACTATTGTCTGATCATTGTACATGATTGAGGCACCTTCTAGTGGCACAGTAAAAGGGATTAGTTTAAGCCATGTCACGACGTTAAACTAGAACATGTTTTCCTCCATTTATGAAGCAGACTGATGCTGCTGTGGGGTAGCTCTAGCAGCCCAACTGCCTCAGGTATCAGTATCTTCACAACATGCCTTAAAGTAGGACATGGATAAGGCAAAAAGCAGACTCCAGGGGATTCCTTAACAGATGCAAGAGAAAGGGCAGGTACCTCCTGTGCTGTAGCATTCTGCACCTGCAGAAGGAGCAGGAAGGAGTGGAACAGGCTTTGTCACAAGCCTGAGCAAGAGTCAGTAGGGGATGCCATAAGAATATATAATAAGGAGATGCCATGCCTGGCATGAGATAAGGGGGGGAAGTGTCACTGAGCAAAGGCAAGCTGGGTTGGTGTGGCTGGCAACCAGCTGCAGAAACCTGGGTTGAAAGGAAAGGACCAAGTTCTTTCATCTTGATTTCTCGAGGTGATGCTTTTATATCTGTGCTTGTCAGGTGTGCATTTCTGTACTTTGGCAAGATGGTTAGGTTTTTTCCTGTGCTTTATTTGATACTGCTGTGAGGGAGCAGATGTGCAGAGAGAAACTGGAAAGTGAAATTCTTTCCCTTGTTTGAGCACTGACAGACAGAAGGTGCTTTTTTCCATTCTCAGTGGTCCTGGGCTGGCAGAAGGATTTAGAAAGATGATAGAGCAGCTCCAGATGCCACCAGAGCACAGCACAGCTGCCCTCCTGCTTCAGAGCACTCACTGGACATTCCCTCCCATGGATAAGGAATTGGCTGGATGGTTGCACTCCAGAGTTGCAGATAACAGCTTGATGTCCAAGTGGAGAGCAGTGATGAGTGGTGTTTCTCAGGGGATAGTGTTGGGGCCAGCACTGTTTAACGTCTTTGTTGGAGACACAGACAGTGGGATTGAGAGCACCCTCAGCATGTCTGCCGATGACACCAAGCTGTGTGGTGCGGTCGACACACTGGAGGGAAGGGATGTGCCATCCAGAGGGACCTGGACAAGCTGGAGAGGTGAGACTGTGCAAACCTCATGAAGTTCAACAAGGCCAGGAGTAAGGCAGAGTCCTGCACATGGGTCGAGGCAATCCCAAATGCATATACAGGCTGGGTGATTGGTGGATTGAGATCAGCCCTGCTGAGAAAGACTTGGGGGTGCTGGTTGGTAAGTTCAACGCAACCCAGCAATGTGGGTTTGCAGCCCAGAAAGCCAACCGTATCCTGGGCTGCATCAAAAGAAGCATGACCAACTGGTCAAGGGAGGTGGTTCTCCCCTTTTGCTCTCATGAGACCCCATCTGCAGTACTATGTCTAGCTCTGGGCCCCCAACAGAAGGACATGGACCTGCTTGAGTGCATCCAGAGGAGGCCATGAAGATGATCAGGGGGCTGGAGCACCTCCCTTATGAGGACAGATTGAGTTGGGGTTGTTCAGCCTGGAGAAGGCTCCAGGGAGACTTTATAGCAGCATTCCAGTACGTAAAGTGGGCTACAGGAAAGATGGGGAGGGGCTTTGTACAAGGGCATGTAGTGATAGGATGAGGGGTAATGGCTTTAAACTGAAATAGTATACATTTATATTAGATATAAGGAAGAAATTTTTTACTGTGAGGGTGGTGAGGCACTGGAACAGGTTGCCCAGAGAAGCTGTGGCTGCCCCCTCCCTGGAAGTATTCAAGGCCAGGTTGGACAGAGCTTTTCTAGTGGAAGGTGCTCCTGCCCATGGCAGGGGGGTTTGGAACTAGGTGATCTTTAAGGTCTCTTCCAATCCAAATGGTTCTATGATTCTATGAAAAATAAGAGAATGTTGAGAAATGTTGCATGAACACAAGAACTGCTAACTTCAGTTAAAGTATCAGGTTTATGTGTTTCAAAAGAAGAAACAGAACCCTGTGGATAAGATCCAGGACAGGGGATTGGAGAAAAATTGTTGAAAAAGATGATCTAGGCAACAGACTGAAGTACAGGAATGAACATGCTATTCGTAGGCCCCATCACAACCCAGGACATCTGCAGCGAGGATTTGGAGAGCCTTTCCCTGCAAGTGGGAAGTCCTACATGATGCGTCCAGCCATAGGTGAGGCATCCCAAGATGCGGCAAGAGGATCCAGCCTTATATACCAAAAATCAACCAGTCAGAATGACTGGCACTTTGATTTGAGCAGAAACATCTAGTTTCATCCTCCTGTTGGATTCCACCCAAAGCCTGGCCAGGGCTTGGTGGGGAGAACCAAAGGAGTTTCTAACAAGGCCAAACACTCCAAATCCCGCCGCCGGCTGCTCCTCACTGGGGCTGGGCAGCCTCTGCCGCTC